TAATCATATTATAATACACTAGCTAATATTACAATGAAATGCAACCGTTTTGAAAATTATGTTTCAATCAAAAAGTCTACTCATTGAATCAGACTTCTTTTTGTCTTTTACCAGTAGAGTTCAGCTACCCTGACGTGCTATGACGTGTTTGGTTGGTGGTGACCACAGTTCTGACGGTCATTTTATAAAGCTTTGGACCAAAAAGGGCAAACGATGAATCCACTTTCCACGTTTTACTCACACCAAGTAATGTCAGAGCTCGTGATCAACCGGGATACTTCACCCAAATGAATAGCTTCTCACAAGTAAACTTGTGCCAGGGTACCTGCCGTGCCTATAGTATACTTTAGTATACTCATGTCAGCGCCTTGGTACACTGAGTTTGCGCCAGATGATCATCCTATAAACCCTGAAAAGCATATAGGGAAAAGCAGCAAAAGGATTGTTCCTTGGATTGCCTGTGCAATCTGAATTAAGTGTCTATGATGCTGGTCACGTTTTCCTCCCCTTTGTTTACAGCCACCTTGATGTTGTGGAGCTCATTGCCTCCTGCGCATGCGAGGCACCGCTACCTGCATTTTAATCAGGCGAAATAAACTACAGTATATTATTTACAGCTTTCCCAAGTGAACACCATATTTGTCTACAGCCTATTTAATGCACAGTCTTAGAGAAGCCGGACTCCATGTCATCAGGTAAAGCCTGTAGGCTGCTTCACCTAAAGTTAGAGAGGGCGATGTGTGAAATGGGCTTGCCACTGGTAGCTGCAGTTGACTGAGAAAACATATAAATGTATATGCTGACGACACTGACATCAGCAGAATCATATTAGTAAGACACTTGAAATCCAGACAGAACAATTGGTCAACAGTGAGGGGTTCGTATTTAACAGAAAGGTCTCACATTTGAGTTGTTGTTTGGTATTTATTTGTATAAACGAGGACAGTTAAGACTGAAGTACCCAAAGTATTTTTCCCACCCGTATTGCGACCAATCCCGCCTTCTCGTATTCGGCCTCCTGCGCCAAGATCGGCGGAATAGAGCAGGGGGCGCACATTGTCAGAATGCGGGTACAAAAATAACGTTCCCAGCTCAGGACTGGGCCTCTGAATTAGCTACAGCACTCAGCCCACTTTAGGCCAGTCATTTGTATTCCAAAGCTCTGAGTGAAAGAAGAAACTCCCGTATCACTTTGTCGAGCACGTGTGATGTACACAATTAAAAAACATGGTTCTTCAAGACTTCTTTAGTTAAGACAATGGTTCTGTTTAAAACCATGAGTTCTATATAGAGCCATTTGATGTTTAAATGGTTCTTTGCATGGTCAAATGGCTCTTCAGATTGATTGAGAATGTGTTGTATAAGGTTTTATACAGAAACCATGGTTCTAATTAGAACAATTACCTTAACTACAGAACCCTTTGAAGAACCATCTTTTTTAGCGTGTACTGAAAGCGTAATAGCAGAATACTTTATACTATTATGACCATATTATATTATGGCCATTTTCAGGCATAATGTATTCCTTCTATTTTAGGAGATTCTTTTTGGAATTAATAATAATAATAAAAATAATAATAATAACTGTAGTGTAAATAACGTTAAGGACCGCATGGTCCAGTTTTTTATTCAGTTTGACGTAAATACATAAACGTAAACATTATATATTATTTAAACGCAACGCAGTTAAGATATGTTTTACTCGAATAGCTTCTCTACAGAGGTATAGACAATTATATGTGCCATACCAGTGACCATAAGAAAACAAAAAAATATTTACGCAGCGATTTATGAAAAGTGAATTTGACTTAAAAATATGCGTAGATGGGCGCAACTTTCCGACCTATCGTACGAAGAGCAGTCTGAGTTGTGCTAACACAACCACCTCTGAAACACTCCAATTTATCTACGTCATATGTCTTATCTACTCCCTGCATAGTACAATAACAATATATCAGAGCTCTGACTTCTCAAACTCCTCAGAGTAATCACGCTGATTTGGGGTCAGTCTATACCTTTGACAGAACACTGAAGAGAACTGTGTGAACTGATGAGACCTGATGTTAGATCAGTGCTCTTACTCTGAGGCGCTTGATAAACATGGACCCAGGAGTCAGGTGTGAAAGCCAAACTGTCAGAGCCGTAATAACTTTTCATGCCCCCAGACTTTCATTTCAGTTCAGGCTCCAACAAAGCGCGGAGAATGACGGGGGCAGATTGACATGGGTGGCATAGTCAGCCGACAATCGTCAAAAGTCAACTACTACGTTCTACCTAAGCGAAGAAAAATCGAAATTTAATTTGGACTGCAGCCGTGCGCGCAGCTCAGTAGCAGTTTGACCGTTTAAACGCGTTGTATGAAGAAATGGGACTATACCAATATTGTTGTAGAAAATAAGGAATTTTTGGGGGGAGGGGGGCAGAGTGACATCAGCTACGTCTGGGCTAATATTAGCTGTTATTAAAGATTTAGGTGTAAAAGCAGACGCAGCTAAACGGACGAACAACCTGCAGGCAGATAATCAGACTTCCTTTCAGTGCATTTCAGTTCTGAGCTTCTATTGTAAAGAATAATCCCACTAAAAGCAACAACTCACATGGAACACTGGTTTAGCTTTACAGACATCTAATTATCTTTATGATGACGATTATTATTATTATTATTATTATTATTATCATCATCATTAGCAACAATAGCAGTGTTTTAAATTGGAACAGTTAGCCAGGTAAACTAGATTTTTAAAAGAATATTGTGAGCTCCCTCCTCCTAATCCCCCGCAGAACTTTGAGGGGCTTTGCTTTTGTTCTCGTTGGGCTTGAGAGCCCGTCATTACCGCTGATTAGCGCTGAACAGTTTGACAACCTTATTGACTGCCAGAAACACTCTTTTCAGCTAACCCCTTCGCTTTTGTCCGTGCACAAACTCAATGAGCTTCTCTCTCCCTTCTCCTACTTCGACTGCTCCTCCATTTTTTTGTCGCAGTGACAATTAGTTTGCCACTCATGTGGTTAAAATACCTTAAGCGTCCAGCTTGCCCTCCATTCCGCTAACAAAAGTGACATAAAGAAGCCCTCGCTGTGCGTCCTGACTTATGTCAGAGAAAAACAAACCATGCAAATAATTAAACCCGAACCTCTGCAACATGCTCTGTAAGAGGATGTAAAACATGTCTGCACCATCTGAACATATTTCGCCTGCAGGCTGTACGGCCTGCTGTGTGGATCGATGCTGTCTGGCTATGTTTTACTCTATATTTACCAGCCTGCATGTGCTGCTGAGCTGTGGACTTGCGCTTGTTTGGTTTGCACTTGTTAAATGCACTCGTTCACTGTCTTTGTAGCGAGAGGTCGACGTTGTCTCACTGAATGCATATTGCAGGTTTGCATTACGCCAGCGACGTGGAGAATTAGGTTATTTAAAAAATACACTAGGCCACCAACCGGTCATGGCACTTACAGGAAAAACAGCGTAAGCCTTTGAGTGGGCTTACATCACAAGTTCATAATCTAAGATGCTGCTGCGAAATACTATTTGGCAGATATGAGACAGAAATGATTGATATAATTGAATTCGTGCAGAAAACTGTCATGATTTTTCACGGAAAAAAAATTCCAAACGTTCAGCAATAAACAAATCTTTCTAGCCTAAAATATAATAGCCCAAGAATGATGTACCATTTAAGTGTGAGGATTATGGGATTTCTGTGGCTTTTTGTATGCAGTCTGCTCGTTTCGAAACCAAGGCGCTCCGCCCTTTCGTTGACCTTCTCCTGTCAGAGAGCATTAAGGAGCGCAAAGCCAATAACAGTGCAGTTAACGCGAGCGGACACGCAGGAAGCGATCACGTTAAACACGCCGCTGCAGCCCACATTCACCCATTAACGCCGTCCACCTTTATACGTGGACGCTGACGACGCCGAGGCAAAACGTCCGCCGTTTTAACCGTCCAGCATTTTTAACACGCACTGTAAAGGGTCCAGTTTGCCTGTCATGAGTCTCCTGAGCTGCTTTCACTGTTTATTTGCGTATGAATGTTTTAGACTAATTAGACTTGGCCGACGAATAAATAAGACACTTTAAACGACTCTGTTTGCTTAAAATAAACTAAAGCCTAAATGTGCTAGAATCAGTTCACGTGACTAACCGCTCAACCTCTCAGTGAAAAACAAACATCTCAACAAATCTCTCATTTTTTTTCTTTTTCTCCCCTAATTTTTACATTTTAGATGAAGCAGCAACAGCACGAGGGATGATAATAATAATAATAATAATAATAATAATAATAATAATAATAATAATAATGATAATTCAGACTCAGATTTGAGGTATTAATGAGAATAAGTCTTTGATCATCAAACATTTTATTAACTTAAAAGTCCTTAATTCATTAAAACATACGTCCACTACTCGGCGCACTCTAAAAGTCCATCGATATACACCAAAAATGACCGGACTTGAAATGAGCAAGCAAATCAAATGTTTCTATAAGAGCAACGTCTTTTTTTAATACGTAAACATCTTAGAAAACGTGGTAAAATGGTAAAACGTCGATACAACATGAAGTCCTTTTCATAGCAAACAAAAAAGTGAGCGTTTTTCGTTTTGTTCCTGTTTCCTTGAGGCATCCGATTTAGCTTCATACAAAAGTAATTTGGACACGGACAGGATCTCTGTCTCTCTCTCTCTCTCTCTTTCTCTTTCTCTCTATCTATTTCCCCTCCTCAAAATGTCACCTCTTCGTGTATTTCATACTCGGTTATGGAAAAAAGATAAATACATTTTTAAAGATAGAGCATTCCATAGATCCCTGGCTGGTCTGACAGCCGTCAAATAATTACCAAAAAAAGAAGAAGAAGAAGAAGAAGAAAGAAAAAACACGGCCTCTGATACGTTAAGGCAGGCACTGATGTGCTTGTTTGTCTTGTTGATTGTCTGTCTCGACTTCCTTCGTAAGGTGTTCATTTTCTCCTCGTCTTCCCTGCTTGCCCGGAGGGGCGACGTTAGATGTCACATTCGCTGTCACTCGATGTGATGGAGATGGCCGAAGCAGCAGCTTTGCTCGACAGGCTGGCTTCTGGGCTCGACGCACCGCCCAGCCGGTCCACGGTGCCCTCCTCGCCAGGAACCGAGCCGTTGGACAGCACCTGTTGTTGTAACCTTTGGGGTGGTGGTGGGGAGGGAGGAGGGGTAACAAGATCTGTGTCAGTATACCTGGGTGGCCCCATCTATTTCGCCAAATGCAAAAACAAATGCAGCTAGATTTCAAATCTCAGCTTTGATGGCCAACATGCAATATAGACATTGCTTTGTTTTGTATTTACATGCAGATTAAGCGTGTAAAGTGTGATGCGGTGCATGGCGCTCTGAGCCTTCGTCATAAGCTCAGTGCCCCGGAAGGACACGGTGTGTCAGAGCAAGAGCATCACAGGAATTTCAGCATCAACCAGCCAATGTGCTGCATTCCCCATTTTGTGGGCTATTTCCTTAGCATGCAGAAGAATGCCATCTATTGACATTCTAACGGGTTGATAAGATGGTACACATAAAGAGACAACAGCCAAGAGTGATTAGTCTTTTGGTATTTTTGGGATAAGACGGGGACTGTTTTGCCTGCTTTAAGCCGACTGAGCTGTTTATTTGAGCAAAATGAAAGCCCTGGCGATTGGATTTATTTGAAACTACAGAGAAAACCTCCTGTTTAACCTTCTCGTAACGTGACCGCAACGAGCTACATAACAAAACAAACTCTTAACCTCTCGGTAGAATTACCTTAATCCCGATGTAATCGGCCAAAGCCACAAACAGATTAGCAGCCTACCAGATCGCAATAAATTATCTGTTCTTTCATTTTGGGGTACTCCTAATATTTCATAATCTGTTTCTATTTTTGTGAGCTCCATAAAACATGGTGAACTTGGTCTCAGAGCTAGGCCTTTACACAGTCAGGATGTAGGTACCCGCTAATGGGGGTCTTCAAAGACAGCATGCTGTAAATCTCAGTAAATCAGTACTTTCTGAGGACCTAGAGCTTTCCCATTACTAAAATTGTCTATTCATTAATGTTTTGTTTTCTTGTTTTCCTTTTTGTAAATACTTTGCACCAGGAGAAACCATCCAAACGGTGGCGGATATGATGGCTATTAATTTGGCAGAATGCAATCTGTTATTATAATAAATTGCTTTATGCGCTGTAACTGCATTTAACATAAGTTAAAAATAAAACTGGCCAATTGCAGTGCTGCAACAACAGAATGGCTGGCTAACCTCAACCACGAGCCTCTTTTTTATTGTGTAACCCTCAGCGTGCGACGGTTGAGGAAATAGGGACTGGGACCTCAATATCTGCACAAAAACGCCTGCTAATTTGCAACTGAAGCACGCACCTGTTTTTAGCGGCCGCCGCTCTGTCCCTTTGTCTTCGATTTTTAAACCAGTTGCCCACTTGGGTGGGAGTAAGTCCCGTGGCTTCTGCGAGCTCCCTCTTTTTGCTCGGGTTCGGGTAAGGGTCCTGCAGGTACCATTCTCGCAGCAAATGCCTGGTCCTTTCTTTGAAGCAGTGTGTCTTTTGTTCTCCGTCCCAAATAGTTTTGGGCAGCGGAAACTTCTTGCGCACCCTATATTTGTCCACCGGCCCGAGCGGGCGGCCTCGGAGCTTCTCGGCCTCCTGGTAGTGCGACTCCAGCCAAAGCGCCTGCAGTTTGGAGTGGGACTCTTTGGTGAACTTGTGGTTCTCCAGGATGTGGTAGAGCTCGCGGAAGTTCCCCGTGTGGAAGGCCACGATGGCGCGAGCTCGGAGCACGGATTCGTTGCGGTTGAGCACCTCGCAGGCTGCGGGCGCGACGGGCAGCGACCAGAGGAAGCGGCCGAGGCGCTCGATGTCCCCGCTCTCCTCCAGTGTCTCGCATACCCCCGCTACCTGCTGGGGACTGAAATTCAGGATTGGCAGCTGAAACATGAAGGCTTCTGTGTGCTTTCTCTCTCCCCCCCTCGCGGTCCTCGCCGTCTCTCGCTCTCGCGCGTGCTGTCTGTCTGTCTCTCGCTCGCTCTCTCTCTTTCTCTCTCGCTCTCTCACTCTCTCTCCCTCTCTCCCTCTCCCGGAGCCAGCAGACGAGCCGGTTTAGACGGTGCTGAGGAAAAGAGGATGCCCCTCTGGCTGACGGCAGCAGCCTCGGCAGGCGATATGGAGAGCTCGAGTGAACGAGAATATAGCACAGGAACGGAGATATTTTTGAGGAGGGGTGTGTGTGTGGAGGGTGGGGGATGAAAAAAAAAGACGTTCTGTCCTCGTCTGATTTTCTATTGGAGCTGGCAGATTGGTTGCGTAGTTTCCATGGACTCCTGTCAATCACTGTCAAGTGTGCCAATCACGCGGAACGGAGTGCAAATAGATTTCAGCACCTCCCAGATCTCAGCGGCGCATTTTATACAATGAAAACATTTCCGATTAGCGTTTTTTCTCTTCTTCCTCCTCTCCTTTTTTGCGCCTCTTCTTAGTTCACCGCTCTGGGTTGCGTTTTCGTGCGCGTCCAAAATGTCCATCCAAGCGATAATTCCGCAGAGTGGAGGTCTGTGTTCGGCGCGAGTCGCTGCTGCTTCATCTACGCAGTAGCCTATCTATCAAAAGCAGAGCTCGGCTGTCACATGCAGTTTCTCATAACGCAGCCCGGCGCGCATGTGAGACGACGCGGCGATTGCCCTTTTGCCATTCAAAAACCGATACGCGCGTTCAAGCGCTTCCACAACGCGAGCGCCGTCTGAAACGCTCCGACCAGGGAAAGGTTGCGAAATTAAAAAGACACACGAGGGTATTTCAGTTTGTGCTGATCGCCTGGACATCAGCGGCCACTCACATTTACAATAACGAGTGCTGACTGAAGAGATGAGAACAAAACCAGGCGAGATTCGCTCAATTATGCGTTAAACCAAACGTGCAGGCGCAACGACGCGGATTTAATAAAGCGCTGTAAGGCCAGCACAGATTCAGCTATTCTGCCTCGTTGTAGCCGCAGTTAGACGTCAAAGCGCTCAGCATACCACAAGACTCAGATACTTCTACATAAAGAGCAGCCCTTTAACCTCTGCCGCTCTGCATCTAGATCCCCTGGAAGAGACGCGCTCTAGAACGCGTCCACTCGGGCCTGATTCATATTGTGTCATTTTCTACAAAATTTCATCTCTCGCAGATTCATATTTATAAAAGAAAATGAAGAACAGTGTCAGCGCGCTGTGTAATGATGTGGTAAAGAGCCCGAGTGAAGCAGCAGCAGCACTGGGCGCAGTTCGCTCGGTGCCCGAGCTGAGGCGGTAAATAAGACGGCGGATAGATAGCGCAGATGGTTTGAAGTGTCGGGTCACATTATTTCACGGCTGGCTACAGAGGAAAAGTTCATTCTGACGGAAAGCCCCTGATATTATTTTCACAGATCCACATAGTTCAATTGAAGAAAGCCCTTCGGGCCTTTTTTGCATGATGTATGAGCCGTGGCTCCGGATATGGAGCCACCGTCTGTACGGAAAGCTGCTGCTCATCTTCATGCACCACAGTCCTGCCACGAGGACTGGCGCTTTAGAACGTCACGATCCACATTTTGGACAATTGTCCGGAACATAAGAACGTGCAAGTGTCCAGTTATTTTATTAGGATAAGATTTGGTAAACTGCAGGGGAGACAATGAAACTCTGACAATACCTAATATATATCATACCTACTTTACTATAATATATAGCATACTATATTTATACTATAATATATGTTTCCATAGTAACAATTTCTTGTGTACTCATTACTACGCAAAAACGTACTATATCTACTTTAATGTATAATTACAAAGTTATACGTACTTATGTACTCATTAGTACGCACATACGTACTATATATACTATAATGTAAATTTCTAATAGACTCCAAAGATGACAACAATAATAACAACAGCCACAATGTATTGAAATAGCCTAATAAAACAACTATTTATTATTATTATTATTATTATTATTATTATTATAACTTTACTAATATCCTCATTATTATGTTTCTAAAATGAAAATCTGCCCCTGATGCTGCCTAAAAATAGCAAAGTTCACAATCTTGTAGTGAGATGCAATGCTAGATGATCCTTTGGAGGAAGTATGAATTTATTCATTACTCCAGGGACGGTTAATATTTTACATTTTGTGCATGTCTATAACAGGAGAAAATGGACGAGATGGACAAGATTAACATTTGACTCTATTTTCTTGAGAAACACCGTGGAGAGAGCCTGGCGAGACACAGCGCTATCGAAACGCAGCTGGGCTAAGCCTGCATCTTGCTAAATAAAGGATTTTAAGTGCACTAGCACTACAAAATAAACCTCGACTGTAGGACTGAATAAAACGTGAAATGAGACGATGTATCAAGTGCCTGACATGCTCCAGGTTTCAAACATTTAAACAACCGTTAATATTTCATATGCTGTCTTGTACATCTGAAATAACTGTTACCATTATGTCACCACCAAGGAAAGGAGAAAAAGGGCGCCAAGATATCCTTCTGACAAATGATTGCGCTATTGTGAGCCTCGCCACTAGACTAGCATAATTTCAACAAAAGCTAATCAAATAGAAAACCAGCTCCTTTCACATAGTTTTTAGTTAATACGGTCTTTGGGCCTTTGTCTTTTTATAACTATACGATCTAGATCTCGCGTTAAGCACAGAGTCATCCGTTAATCATAACACTCAAACACGAATCACATAATTCTAGCCCTAGAATAATAGAAAATTTCTCCAGACCGATGATTATTTCATTGTCATTAGGAACACGCTTTGCACTCTCGGAAGACCCATACAAAAAGCCCAAGGACGCTCATCAGAGCTACTCAGAGCAGAACTAATGTGTGAATGTGGCCTGCAGCTTTGGAAACATTTAGCCCATTCAAGAACATACAAACTTTGGGCATAACGTAGCCCACTACCGTAAAACCCAAGGTGACGATTAACGAAAACTTGGATTCTTATGAAAGAGCCCTTGTTGGTGGAATTATTGATAATCCTTTCATGATCAAACTTTATCCAACCCGTGAGGGAAGTCAGTGTCTATGAAGGCTCTTTCTAAACCAGTCTAAATCAACACTGAATTCATTTAAATCAACAGGAAATTTATGAGGCTTATTAAAAAATAGTGAGCTGATGTACTGCACACTATGAAAATACTCCAGAACATGACTGAGGATTTTCATGACTATTTTCTCCTTTGGGTTTATATGTTGCTGAAATGTCTTCTATAATTTTTACAGTTCTGTCATCTGATTAACTGATTTAATCTTTAAAACACAGACATAATCCAGGCGAGCCAGTGTTGTGTTATTAAGATGACAGAGAAAAACAGCAAAACGATTAATCTTCTAATTAGAAGGGATATAAATATAAATAAAAAAGAAGTTTAAATTAACTGCAAGACACCTTTGGATTTTTAGGAAATTTGTGTTATTATTCAAGGCAGGAGCAATAAAAGAACCCTGGATTAAATAAGAGTTAAATATGTTAATTACAGGCCACATGCAAATCAACAAATTCCCCCAATATTTTTAGCTCCAAATCATTTTTATTAAGAGAGGCATCTCTTGGCAATCTCATCCTCACTACAACAGAAAACCTGTTGACAGCTGCTTTGTAAGGCTACCATCTCAACACAATCAGTGTTTACAGTAGACATAAACCTTGACCGTGAGTCTCAATTAAGAGATTTTTTTATTAAAGTCTTCATATTTAATGGATGCTTTTTTGAGAAGTTTCAAAATCTGTCATCTGCCAATTTGATTTCATCTCAGGCATAATCCAGCACAGCTTGTACTGTCAAGATGATAGAAAAAAGGTAGATGATAAAGCGTCGTCTTCCTCTCTCTTCTATCTTTTCTCCCTTGAAAAAATATTTTCTGTGGATCACAGATTCCCACGGTGCGGGGTCAAAGCACACCCCAGGGTGGGCAGAAGAGTGGGAGGGAGGAGGGGGGTGGGTGCAGGCGCAGGGCTAGTGGGTGAGGGGCCATTAACTGTCCCAGATTCTCCTGGATCAGCAGAGCAGTAGAGCCAGTATGATGACAAACCACAATTGCACTTCCTCCGTCCAGTCTGGCTGCTGCCAGCACCTCCCATTCTGAGCGGGTATCACCCTATTATTCCTTTATTCGAGCCAGCCTACCATCATATCATATCAGGGATTGTCAACATGGCCTCACAACCATCCCCACGTCTCGCATCTGCTGGTTGAATTCAGGATTAAATGATTCAAAAGCAGGTTGTATCAGTCATCATTTAAACCAGCAAGGCTGAATTTGCTGCAGCGGAGCAGATTACACAAACTCTGGGCACATTTCACTTTTAGCTGTAGATTTTTGGAGCAGGATTTGCAGGAATCAAGCACTGCCAGTTCATGCTGTATGTTCTCAGTGGCCACCGAGCTGTCACTATGGTTGGATTAACTTGTAATTAAGGTATCATGCCAGCAGTCATATTAACAACATTTCCGATGCTCTACAAGTGCACAGGATAAGCTGTAAATGGGCATTTATAGTGACAAAAATCCCAGGGTCATTTGACCAGCTAGGACGATGATGGGGATAAGTCTGGCACTCTGGATGCTGTCATCCAGCTACATAAGACCCTCACTCCCGGCCTGGTGATGCCCTATAATCTACAGATTTGCAGTAACAGAGAACACCTCTTATCCGTAGCCAGCCCACTGCATACACATTCAACATGTTATCACACATGCACAGATACAGGCACGCACAGCCTGTGCATCAGGGCCTGTGTTCATTCTAAATGTACAAAATAAGATGATTCCTCAAGAGTTCTTTAGTGAAGACAAAGGTTCTATTTAGAACCACGAGTTCTAAATGGAAGCAATTCATGCTTAAATGGTTCTTTGCATGGTGAAATGAATGTGTTGTATAAAGAACCCTTTTGAAAAGGGTT